ACAGAGCCCGGTGCGTAATACTCGCACAGTGAGTGTTTGCTGAGGAAGTTGTGTGTGAGCAGGTGGCCTCTCCGGGCAGCTGGGCCTCGTGTGGGGCTGAGTGGAAGGCCCTGTGGGGGCCGGGGCTCTTGGGCTGATAATATGTTAGGGCTGTGGGTCCCCCATCTCCTGAGTACCCCCTGCTACCTCCCAGCAGACGCTGTGCATGCGAGGAGCATCACAGGCAGGGACTCTCAGGGTCAGAGTCCCCAGGAGCCCTGGCATAGGGGGGGAAGGCTGAGGCCTGAATCGTGGGGGCTGGGTGCACATGTCCTTCAGATGCTGACCCCTCCGCCACCACTGGCGTCTCGCCGTCCAGCTCATGGCCCGTCCTCTGCTCTGGCTGCTGGGCGTGTCACGTGAGAACCTGCCACACTGTCCTCGCTGACCCGCTGTCCGTTCCCCGTGTCTTCAGTGGCTTCTCCTGGAGCCAGGCTGGGTCCTGGGCTGCCGCAGACAGCAAAGCAAATGGGGGCTGTGGGTCTGCGTCAGTGGCACCTGCAGATGAGTGTAGACTTATAGTGGTCATTTTCCTGTAGACCCGTGTCACCTCTAGGAATCCCCTTCCAGCACCCTGAGGAGAACCCATGAGGTCCCCGACAGGAAAGAGCAAGATCCATGAGAGAACGTGACAAGATGCTACGTTCAATTTGTGGGGAGCGTCAGGGAGGTTCCTCAGGGGAAATGGTGGGGGAGGGGCATCAGCACGTGCAAAGGTCCTGGGGCAGTCAGACCGTGGGCATTTGAAGCCCTAAAAGGAGGTCCCGGTGGCAAAGACGAAGGAAGAGCAGAGGGAGAGGGACACTTGCTGAGTGGTTGGATTTCATCACAAGCCCCTGCCGACTTTGAGGCAAGACAGCAGCAGGTTCTGACTTAGGCTTTCAGAGGAACCTCTGACCGCTGTTTGGAGCCAGATTCGAGGGTGTTAGGGTGCAGTTGGGAATCAGGGTGGGAGCAGAGACCAGCAGAATGCATGGGTTTGGGTGTACTTGCAGGACATCCCAGTGCGTGGTGTGCCTGCCACAGGTCCCCTCGGCCATGAAGGAGCCTGGCTGGCTAGCGTGAGAGGGGTGGGGCACACAGCTCCGTCAGCAGGGCTGGGGGGCCTTGGCCGGGCTTCCCGCAGCCCTTCCTGTCACCTGCCTCCCTGGCCACCCTTCCCTTGCTGCTCGGCCAGTTGGGCCCTGTTTCTGGGTCTAACTGGGCAGAGGCCACCCCCTCCTCTCAGATCGCCCCTTTACATGGCCCCTTATGGACCCTGTTCTGTGCCCCAGGGGAAACATGGCCGTGGGAGGGCCACCCTGCTTCACCCCAGGACAGCGGGGTTCTCAGGGGGAAACCGTGCTGTGGGAGCCAGGAGGAACTGCTCCCTGTGGGCTTGGCATGGCATCCTCCAGGCCCCCTGTTTGGGGAGGGCCTTCTCCCGGTGAGTCTCCCGAAGAGGGGCCCCACAGGGTCAGCAGGGTGCTGGAGGATGGTGGGGCACAGGTGTCCGGAGCGGGGTGGATCCCAGCAGAGTGGGTGCACAGGAGGGCTCTGAGCACTCCAAATAGTTACTGAGCCAGCGGATGCCAGCACTCAGCAAACCTCAGTGCTTCTCACTGGTTAGTGACAAAACCCAGCGAGCCACGAACTCCCCAGGCAGGTGGTGTGGCCGGGGCTGTGCAGGCTCTCTTGAGGCAGGAGGGTCTTCTGACCTTGGGCCTCTCAGCCTCCCCGTGTGCTGTCTGGACAGGGAGACCTGCTGCTCACGCCCAGTTGTGCTGTAAGCCCGTCTGTGTCTGGGGCCTCTGGCTGCCGGACTGACCTTGGCCTGAATTTTGGGGGCTCAGGCTCAGCCCTGTGTCTCCAGGTCTGATGAGGCAGCCAGGACCAGAAAGGAAGCTGCTGGGTCCTCCCGAGCACCTCCCTGCCCCCATCCCAGAGAGAAGGTTCCCAGCCAGCAGGGCTCCCTCCAAGCCAGCTGTCCTTACTGCCCATGTCCCTGGGAGGGTGGGCCTTTGTTTGGGTCACTTGTTCATCACAAGCGTCCCGGTGCACGAGGCTCATTAGTGGAGCAGCAGGACGCAGATCTGTCACGGGTGACCACTGACCGCGGCCCCCCGGGGCTCGACAGCCTGCTTCAGTCCCGCTCGGGCCCCGGTGGGCCAGCCCCAGCAGATTCGTTTGGCGACTTTGTTTGCTAAAAAGGGGAAATGTGATCATCAGCTTCTGGCAGATGCTTGTGGAGGAGCCTGGTCCACAGTCTTGGCCTTCGGCAGCCCTGCCAGCGTGGAGAGGTGTCTGTTCGGGCTGTGTTATTTTCTGTGGGGGTTCGTGGCTGGGCCGCGGCACGTGTCCGGGGCTGCTGTGGCCGCATCCCCCCTGCACCTGCCTCTCCCTGCAGGGCAGTCGGGACGTCTCACCAGGTACCTGTGTCCTATTTGGACATGGGGAGCCTAGCCCAGCCCAGCGAGGCAGCCGGCTCTCTGTCCCTCACTCCTTCATGGTCCATCTGTTCCCCGTGGGTGGTGACCCCTCCAGGAGATGATAGAGAACCTCCAGAAGTCAGGGCTGACATCCAGAAGGTGCGGGATGGGGGGCGGAGCGGAGAGGGGGTGAGCCCCGTGTTGTCATCGGGCTGTGACAAGAGTGGGTCCACTGCGTGCCCGGTTTAGAAACAAGACAGAGCCATTCCCAGTGTGACTTGGGTCCCCATCTGCAGGAGCCTTAGGCCCGAAGGAGATGCCCTAGGGTTTCCAGATGGACTCCGTTGCATTTTATCATGATACAAATGTTTGGTAATTGGGTTTGCAGAGGACTCAGCATAGTCCTTGAGAATTGAAAAAGTTGCCCGCAGCCAGCTGTCATTCCCCGAATGTTTGTGGGGTGACCAAGTGGCGGGGGCGAAGGATTTGCCTGCAGGGACAGCCAGGGTCCTGTGCTCCTGGGCGGTGCCCACTGACCAGGGTTCGCGCCTTAGGAACGGTGCGGAAGGCAGGGCCTGCTTGTGGCTACTGCGTCTCCTGGCTCAGCTGCTTGGTCGGAGCCTCGGAGCGGCCCTTGGGTCACATAAGAGCTCCGTGGGATAGTGTGTGTGTGGGCTCCGTGGTGTGGATGGGCTGCAGGGTGAGCAGGAAGGCTGGCCGGGCAGCGTGGGGACACCCAAAAAAGGCTGAAGTGGGGCAGCCTGTCAGCACGGTGTCCCGGCCAAGAGCCTGGCTGGGGCCGGCCCCCTGAGCTCAGGCCCTGCTGTGGACCGGATGTCTGCGTGCCCCCAAAAGCATACGGCAGGTTAGGAGGTGGGGCCCCTGGGAGGTGATCAAGGTTAGACAGGGTCGTGAGGGTGGGGCCCCCAGGATGGGGTGAGTGCCTTCAGGAAAAGAGGAAGGAACGCCCAAGCCCTTTCTCTCTGCCGCGTGAGGCCATCACAAAGCGGCGTGCACCAGGCTCGGCCAGCCCCCTGACCCCAGACTTGCAGCCTCCGGAACTGGGAGGAATCAGGGTCTGCTGTTCGGGTCCCCCCAGTCCATGGTATTTTGTCCTGGCTGCACGAGTTGAGATATACCCACCTTCGTTATATATGATCTCAGAAACGGGAGCCCTCACCTGTGCGTAGATGCTAACTGGTGGTCACCCCTGGGATGGACGGAGGACGGACACAGATGGAAGGCGTAGGGGCCTCTGCGTGGCCTGCAGTGTGCTGTCTCTGGATCTGGGTGTCCAGTGTGTGCAAATGCAGTGAGGCATCCACTTAGATCTGAGCCCCCGTTTGGGCTCCACTCTGTGGGAGTTCTTTCTTGCTGTTGCACCAGAAACCGAGGGCCTTAAAATAGCATGTTTATTCTCTTACAATTCCGGAGGCCAGAAGTCCAGCAGAATGAGGGTCACATGTTGGCAGGGCTTTGTCCCCCCTGGAGGATCCCGGGGAGAATCTGTTTCCTTGACTTGTCTGGCTCCGAGAAGCTGCCCGCGATCCTGGGCTGCTAGCCCCTTCTGCTACCCTCGAGGCCAGCAGCCTGGCACCTGCAGGTCTCTCCTCTCCCTGACCTCTGACCCTCCTGCCTCGTCTGAGTTTACAAAATGGTGATTACGCTGGGCCTGGATAACCAGGAGAGCCCCCCATCTCAAGGTCCTTCACTTGATCACGTCTGCAGGGTTGGTTTGTCCATGCAGGGGACATAGTCCCAGGTCCCCGGAATTAGGTTGGGACCTCTTTGGGGACCATCAATATCGCATATTACAGTTAAAAACCACAACTATGTGGCCCTTGGTTTCCACCTCTCCTGGAGTAAACGTCAGGTCCTTCTGGCTCTGCACGTCCTGCCCCCGACCCCATCTCATCTGTGACTCCTCCCCTCAGCTCCCAGGGCCCTCCTGCCTCAGGGCCTTTGCAAGGCTGTTGCTGAGCCTGCCACCTGCTTTTCTCCTAGGAATCTGTCGCCTTGCTATTCGTCCCATCCAGGTCCCCACTCGGACTGCAGGAGCTCCCTGCCTGCCCTCCCACTGTGCTCCTGGGTCATCAGCACCCGGGTGGTGGGAGCCGTCCATCTGCCCCTGGCAGGGGCTTGGCTCTGTAGCTGAGGCCTGCGGACCACACCTGGTGCGTTTGTGTGTCCGGGCAATGCCCGTTGGGTGACTAGGTGCCACCAGGATCCCTTTCTCTGGGGCATCCTGGTGGTGGCGGTGATGTGGTGAGATGCCTTTCGTGCATGTGACCTGCACCTTTTTTGTTTAGTACAGGACTCCTCACTGTGGCTTCGCCCCAGCTCTCACCCCTACCATGTAAGAGGAGCCCCGATTAATAGTCTCCCTGCAGGTGTCCCCCCAGAGAGGAGCAAGAGAGCTGCTATGTCCCAGCAGGTGCAGACAGGGCCCTCTGTCCAAGTGCTCTCAAGACCAAGCCTGCCCTCGGCACCTCTGCCGCTGGAGGGGCAGAGCGGGTCCGAGCGCGGGTCACCTGGCGGTTCTGTCCCCTACAGAGGAGGAGCTCCGGAAGCTGAGAGAAGAAACCAACTCAGAGATGCTTCGGCAGGAGCTGGACCGGGAGCGGCAGCGGCGGATAGAGCTGGAGCAGAAGGTCCAGGAAGTGCTGAAGGCCAGGTGAGGAGGGGCCCAAGGCCCCCCGCTGCCCGCTCAGGCACTTCCTTGCCCGCCAGCCCCCCACCGGACGCAGGCACCCCCTCCCGTGACATCCCGCTGCACGCAGTTACCCCTGGGGTCGCCCACCACAAACGGTCACCCTCCTCCCTGCAGGGTGCCTCCTTCCTGGGGGGTGACAGGTGCCGTCCCAGCTTCTGGAGGGCATGACGTGGGCCCTGCTGTGGGATGGAGCTGCCCCCGTGCGTGGCCTCCTCTTGCACCCCACGCCTCTGTCCACACGAGCTGGGCCGCTGCCTCGTGGTGCTGCCGGTGAGGAGCGGGTCCTTCCCGCAGGGTATTTGTAGGTTCTGAGAGCCATGCTCTCCCTGTCCTGATAGAATCCCCAGGAGGCTCCCTGTCCGTCCACACGGCCTGCAAGCTGGTGGCCCGGCAGACGAGGCCACTGCTGGGACAGCCCAGCCCGAGCTGGTTCCTCTGTGCGGTGGACGAGGGCACTGTTACTTTCCAGTGTATTCTCCGGCTCAGGCTCTGAGGACAGCCACACTCCGGGCGCCTCGGTGCATGGGGTTCAGTTGGCGGAAAGGAAGTGCCTCCTTGTTCCACGGCCAGACGCTGGCTTCTTGTCAGGTCTTACCCTCAGCCCCGGGAGCTGGTGACATCTGGTTCTCTTTGGAGGAGGGCTCTTTTGTTTCCTGCTCTGGAGGCATTTTTGGCGACTCCTGTGTGCTTTTGGGCAGCCTGTCCCCGCAGGCCTGTTGTGGGGTTCTCTGGGACTCTGTGTGGGGGCCTTGAGCTTGGTAGGGGAGGGACGCACCCTACTTTGACATTCTGCCCCGGCTACAAGGCCGGCAGCCCTTTCCAGACACCAGCACGTGGGCCTCAACCCGCAGATTACCTGATGTTGATCCTTCGCACGTGGAAATCTGTGGATGTTTTCATTATGCGAAGGGGTGCAGCCGGGGACCTGACCCACGGATGCTGAGAGATCCAGGGACTGGCGCTGTCCCAGGTGTGTGGCCGGCTGTGGGTGCCTTCTCCACCCGCCAGCCACAGCCAGCCTTCCGTGGCATGTCTCAGCACCATGTCCCCCACAGAAGGCGCTCTGTCCGGTGCAGATGTGCGATTCTGTCCAGCTTTGCCCAGAGCCCTTGGCTGGAGGTGGCACGTCCCCTGTGGTGTTGAGAGGTGCTCGCCCTGAGCTGACCTCTCTCCGTGTAGGGCCCATGCCTTCTGCTTCTCACCCTCCTGCCCAGCCCGGCCTCCTCACTCCAAAGCCCCTTCCAGTTCTGAGGACGCAGAGGGACCAGCTGGGTGGTCACAGTAAAGGAACAGCAGGCCAGGACCGAGGAAGCTGAAGGTCCTGGGGCACACTGTGGGGCTGCTCCCCTGCTGTATGTGGGGTGGGGTTTAGGAACCTTCTCGAAATGGAGACCTGAAGGGGAAAGTACAGGGAGAAGCAGGTTCCATGCAAATGACGACCTCTTCCTTTGTCACCTTGATGTCTGGGGTGGCCGTGGGCCGTCCCCGGTGGGTGAGCATATGGAGGGGGACCCCTTTCACACACACATATGCACACACACCCCAAGCTGCAGGTGAGCTGCAGAATTGAAACGTAACAATTAGAGTTTATGTAAACCTCTGTTTTGGTTTTAAAGAAAATTCCCGGAAAATCACCTTGATTGAAGCTTATGTGTTAGTAGGCAAAGGCCTTCTCTCGTTAGGGGTCCAAAAGCAGCACGGAAACACCACCCTTCTGACTTGTACCGTCTGTGGTCAGGCCGTGCCTGCCACCGCCCCTCTGCCTGTCCCGCTCCTGGGCTCGGCTGGCACACTGCATTGAACCTCGCTGGGGGCCATGGTGTGGGATGAAAGGGACCCTGGTGACGGTCTAGTGCCCCCAGCCCGGGGAAAGGGGTCGGGGGCAGAGTGACCCCGGTGCCTGGCCCTGGCATCGCGCTCCTTGCAGGCTTCGGTGCCCTCTAGCTTCAGGTGGCTGCAGGCCAGAAAATCTGACTTTTTTTTTTTTCTTTTTTATTATTTTATTTATTTGACAGAGACACAGCGAGAGAGGGAACACAAGCAGTGGGTAGTGGGAGAGGGAGAAGCAGGCTTCCCGCAGAGCAGGGAGCCCGATGTGGGGCTCGATCCCAGGACCCTGGGATCATGACCTGAGCCGAAGGCAGACGCTTAACGACTGAGCCACCCAGGCGCCCCCAGAAAATCTGACTTTTATTTTATTTTATTTTTTTTAAAGATTTTATTTATTTATTTGAGAGAGAGAATGAGATAGAGAGCATGAGAGGGGGGAGGGTCAGAAAGAGAGGCAGACTCCCCGCTGAGCAGGGAGCCTGACGTGGGATTCGATCCCGGGACTCCAGGATCACGACCTGAGCCGAAGGCAGTCGCTTAACCAACTGAGCCACCCAGGCGCCCGAAAATCTGACTTTTAAAAAGCAATTCAGGGCGCCTGGGTGGCTCAGTTGGTTGAGCGACTGCCTTCGGCTCGGGTCGTGATCCTGGAGTCCCGGGATCGAATCCCGCGTCGGGCTCCCTGCTTAGCGGGGAGTCTGCTTCTCCCTCTGACCCTCCCCTCCAGCTTGGGCTCTCTCTCTCAAATAAATAAATAAAATCTTAAAAAAACAAAACAAAACAACAATTCAGGCACGTTCCACTCCAGACTTGTTTGGTTGATCATTGAACATTAGCGTAGGTTGTTCAGAAACATTTCAGAGAATCCAGTTGTTGGAAATACAAGGCCCCTTTTTTCTGATTCAGTGAGGTCACCCCGCTCAAGTCCCGCCTTCTCGGGAGCTGTGGTTGGGACGGTGCGCCCCGAGTGTCGTGGGCTGGAATGTCCTGGCGCACCGTCTGCCCTGCTGTCCGTCTATCTCCTCTGTCCAGTGCACGGAACAGGCACTTACACATTCCGTATTTGGGATGATGGGAGGGGGGTACAGTTCCTGCAGCTTGCAGCCCAAGAAGGTCTAAATACCTGTGTGTCTCTAGTAGGAATTGTGTTAGAAAAAACACACAGCCAGTGACCGTGCACACCAAACAGTAATAAGCACAGGACCCCAGGAAGCCCCCACCTGTGTCCCTCAGGCATGCGAATCCTCTTGGTGCCGAAGCCCCAGGCTTGGGTTGTGGGGCCAGTTTGTTAGTGCTTCTCAGGTGAGCTGCATCCTCCAGAACCTCCAAGCTGGGCACAGACATCCTGGTCCGGAGGCCGTGACTCCTGCCCGGGAATGGAAGGCACTCGGCCGGGTCTTGACGTCTCCCGTGTGCCCTGGGCCCCTCTCCTGTTCCCAGTAAACCCCCACTTGCCGGTGGTCGCTCTGGGTATGGACAGTTGCTTGGGCAGCCTGGCCATAGGGAGGGGTGGGCGTGGAGGCCTGGCCCCCTCCCCCTGGCCCATGGCGCCCTTCTCCAGGACTCCGCGTCTGTGTTGTCTTCCCCGTCCATTGCTTAGCGAGGCTGCAGGCCTTGCCCACCCTGCTTGTCCCCAGCTTGTCTTCCGTGCTCTAGGTGACATTCACGGGTTTCAGGCCTGCAAATCAGGTCGGCTCGTGGAAGGGTGGCATGAAATCCCGCTGTGTGAGCAGAGCAGAAACCTCGCCCCCTCCCTCACTGCAGCTGAGGGTGCACTCGGGCCGGGGGTCTCCCAGCCCTGCCATCTCTGTCCTGGAAGAGTCCTCTGTGCCCCTGCAAGACCCTGCTGAGGTTTGCCTGGGGCACCGCTTTTCCCACATCCTGGGGTCCCTGCTGGACTGGGAGCCCCAGGAACAGTGTGGTGCGTCCGTCGCCCAGGCCAGTGCAGAACAAGGCGGGCGGGTTGGCCGTGGCATGAGATGTGGCCTGGCCAAAGCTCCACCCAGGGGCCGGGGGCTGGGCCAGCTGCATCAGGCTCTGTAGCTGAAAGCCGGTTCAATAGTCAGGGTCTGGCAGGTGGACAGAAACTCCAGGAGAGCGCTCTGAGGCCGGTGAGTGCTGTGGTCTGTGGTGGCTGGGCTGTAGGGGCAGGAAGCCAGGCAGGTGGCTGGCACGGGCCGAGCTGGGACCTGGGCACAGCTGTCCAGCGCAAGGGGTCACCCAGCCTGTGGTCTTGAGAGCTGCTTGCTGAACATGTCCACTGATGGGCATCGTTTTATCAACAGGCTGGTTAATTAGTGTAAGGGCTGTTTGTTCTGAACTTAACAATAAAGAAGCAGATGTGTTCATAGGAAAGGAAAGAGTGGTACATTTATGAGACTTTTTTTATTTGATTATTAAAAAAAATCAGAAGAGAGCGTGCCCACCGTGAATGCGGCTCTAAGCTGCCCGGCCTGCTCTGTGAGCAGCGTCTGAGTGCTGAGCTCCCAGAGGGGGCCCCACGAGCTGGAGCAAATGCTTGTGGGCGGCAGGCTCCCTGTGAGTGCTAGCACCTTCCATAGCCTGCACTCACACCGTGTTTGGAACTAACGGGATTCTTGCTTCTTCTTCCCCGTCTTTAAGATCCGAGGAGCAGACGGCCCAGCAGCCTCCCAAGGGGCAGGCCCAGGCCAACAATGGAGCAGGTAGGCCCCGCGGGCAGCCGGGCCGGGCGGTGGGGTGCGTGCTGGTCCTGCGCCCGTCAGACTGGCACAGGAGTCTGCCCGTCACAGCGAACACGGTCGTTCAACGAGACGGGGTTTTATTTTCCCCTAAGAAGGCCACGTGGCCCCCGTTTCAGCCCTTCCCGACAGACACGTGGTGTCACTCATCACATTGGCTTCGTGGCTACTGACCTGGTGGCCCGTGTCCAGAGGCTGGCGGTCCTGACAAGGGACAAGCGGGCAGTGGGGGCCGCCGTCCGCGGTCAGGATGTGCCCCGGCCCTCCCCGGGTCAGGACGCACAACCCCTTTCTCTGCACCTTTTCCTACCACCCTGAGCCTGGTCTTTGTCTTACTCCCCCGGCTGTCCTTCCTAGGGCTGTCCTGGCAGGAAAATTGGATTTTCTGTCCAGCTCTCTAGGGGCCCCAATCCGTGGTGGGCCAGGCCCTCCCGTCTCCCGACCGAGGGCCCGTTCCTACAGGCTGACCCCTCTCAAGCACCCCCCTGCCTGTGCCGGGAGCTCACAGCTACACCAGAAGGGCCTTAGGGTTAAGCCCGTCTCATATACAGGTGAGGAAACCGAGACCCAGGAGGGGAAGCCTCTTCAAGGCGCACCTGCCACGTGGAGGCCCGGTTCGGACCGCAGTCAGGTCCTGCCTTCCACAGGGGGAGGTGGCCCCTTCCTGAGGACCCCAGTGCGGGATCAGCAGGCCGGCCAATGCAGGTGCGGGATTGGCAGCTGTGCCCCTCGGGTCATGGGCTCCACGCCCCAGACCAAGGATCCACGCCAGGAGCAGCACAAGAGACCCCAAGGCCCCCGCTGTGCCCCGTGATTGATGAGTCTCCTGCACACAGGGGAAGTGTCAGAGGAGTGGAGGGTGGAAGACCCCAGCTCTCCGGGTGCCCAGGCTGAGGTCCATTCTGTAGCGGTGGTCACTGGCGCGATGGGCTCTACGTGGGCCGAGGGAGGGGATGGGTGCTCTGTGCGGTGCTCTCCACCCTGTGGCCAGGGCGGGCAGCCGAGGGGTTCTGTGGTGCCTGGAGCCCGTCTGCTCGGGCAGCACGCCCAGCCCAGACCTGGGGCTCGGCAGACTGCAGCCCTGTCCGACTTCACGTGTTTAAATGTTTTTACATTTCTAAATGGTCGGAGGAAATCAAAAGGATGTGGGTTTCACACTTCAGCTTCCATGGTATGGTTTCATGGGAACACGGGCAGGCCTGTTAGATTCCGTCCTGTCCACGGCTGCTTCGCGGCCATCGAGGTGGCCGTCTGCCCACCCCTGCCCAGCCCCGCGCTGAAAACACTCGCGCCCCAGGTAGGGGTGAGCAGCCCCCAGGCCCTCCCCGTTCCTTCCCTCCCTGAGAGGCCTGCCTCTTGGGCTCTGTGTGCACAAACCTCAGCCCCGTGGAGAGCACCAGCCCGTGACCACCTCCGCCCCGTCCCTCTCCTTACTCGTGGAGGGACAGCACCCCCTGCGGGCGACGCGGTTTCCTCCCGGTCTTCTGAGTCTGGGATGTGGGTCCCTCTCGAAGGTCTTGGTCCTGGTGAGCAGAGGCCACTTCCGTCACTGGGGCCCCCACCAGGACACAGCCCGCAGCACACATGCCTCCTGGCCGGTCCTCTGGTCCCCGGGGCCCCCGGGAGTGAGCCCCTGCCAGAGAAAGGGAGGGTGACGCAGACCCCAGGGCCAGGGATCCGGCGGAGGGCAGCTCAGCGCAGGTGTGACCACGGAGACCCCATGTGGTCTGCGGTGACCGCGGGCCTCGCCGTGGAAGCGGGTCAGGCTCCGTGTTGGGGAGCGCGTGTTCACACCCCTCCCTCGGGGTTCGTTCGCCCCCACCCGCCTGGCCTCACCGCGACCCTCGTCCCCGCAGACCGGCGGAGCCAGGGGCTGTGCCCCCGCGTCCAGAAGTGGTTCTACGAGAAGTTTGGGGAGTACGTGGAGGATTTCCGGTTCCAGCCCGAGGAGAGCACCGTGGAGACGGAGGAGCCCCTCAGCGCCCGGAGGTGGGGGCCGTCGCGAAGGTGGGGGGGCGGCCACCGGGACGTCAGAGCCAGGCCGGTGTCCGAGTGTCCAAGTGGCTGCGGCCAGGGCTGCTCCCGGGGCCGGCCAAGCCACCTTCCTGGGGGCGGGGCCTCCTTCCCGGGGGCGGGGCCTCCTTCCC